AGTGTCCAGTGCTAGTAAACAGAATCACAAGGTGTTTGACCTTTAACCCTGCACCAAGTTCACTTATTCTATAAATAGCATTTTGCATGTAGATAATGCTATCTGCAAGTGGGGCATTCTTTCCTTCTAATTTGTTGCTTTCTTTTCTTGCCTAGTTCATTTAGATAGAACTTCCAGTACACTACTGAATCAAGTGAATTGACAAGACATCCTAATTTTCTCATTTGAGGGATAAAAATTTACCCAACACAAAGTAGAAGTTATATGTAGGTTTATACCCTGGCAATATAAAATTACTCTATTTCTATTTTTCTCATTTTTACGGAGATGTGAGACTTGATAGATACTTCAATTAAGTCTTCATTTCCTATTTTAGTCATTCAAGATTGGTGATTGACTTTTAAACACTGAAGCAGCTGTCTCTAGAGCAAATATTTTTTAAAAATGTATTGTAAAACTGTTTGCTAGCATTTTGCTAAAGAGTCTTACATTTATATTAAGGAATGGATCTGTGGCTGGATTTTTGTTTTGTTTTTGGTGCTTTTCATCCTACAATAACTCTAAAGACTGAATTGGGAAGCATTACTTCCTTTTCTATGTTCTGGAAATTTTGTACAACAGCTATTATTTCTTAAATATACAGTGAAATCAGGGATGGAGATGTATTTTAAATTGCAAATTAAATTTATTCAACAATTTACCTAAGACTACACACAGTTAACTTTTTAAAAACAAAGGAAGAACAAGAGTTTGATATTTATAGAAAACAAACATAACACAATTTGGGAGATAAAATGTAGTAAAAAGGTTTCGCTTTTTTTGTGCCACACCTAGCAGTGCCCAGGACTCAGGCTCTTTGCTCTGGGTATCGATCCTGGTGGGGCTTATGTGATGCCAGGGAACATGAGGGGACCTTATGTGATGCCAGGATGGAACCTGGATAGGCCACTTGTAAAGGCAAGCACCACACCCACTGTACTATCATTCCAGTCAAACATTGCTTTTTTTTTTAAATTAAACCACAAATTACAAGGTTGTTCATGATCAAGTTTCAGTTACGTGCCAAACAACATTGCTATTTAATACTTGTAAATGTCACGATCCCCTTCAAATAAAGCCTAATGCAGACCCATATGTAAGAGCAGCTGTTCAGGTTAAAGGCCAGTTCGGTGGTGGGGGTAGGTGGTGAGCTCAAAGGGTGAAGCATCTGCTGAGCATGCAGAAACCGACTCCATCCTCAGTGAACTAGGGCTGTCTTTAGCCAGTGATTGCTGTAGGGACGGACCACTAGGCCCCTTGCATGACCCTCTCCCCTTATGTTTTAAAAGCCAAACAGGAAATCTCTCCCTTTGTTTGGGCTGCAACAGAGAAAGGCTCACCAGGCAAGATTTCTGTCATGGTAGGTCACATAAGCATATAGCTCAGAAAAAATTTTGGGACACTGATGGCTTTTCTGTGATAATAAAAAAAAACTGCACTGAAGGCTTTTGTGGCAAATAAATGGGGCTAGTACCCTGAAATTCACTCAGCTAAAACACCCCCTAACTTAAGGCTGTTTTCAATCAAAACTTTCACAGTGCAAGACAAATTCTGTAACCCATCATCCTCTTCCCATAGCTGGTGCCTTAGAGGCTGTTTCACTGGAGCTCTTGAGAACACAGTTTAAAACATCTATCCTCTGGGTTAGTCAAAGAATCGCTGGTTTGTTCAACTGCATTTTTAGTATACGTAGTTCTCAAGCTCTTTGGTACTATAAATGCAATATCTATCATTGCAAACATAAAGAGTGCTGAGACTAAGACCAAGACCAGGGCCAGGGAGAGTGCAAAGGGGAAGGCCCTTGCCTAGCACGCGGCTGGAACTCAGCCCCCATTCCAACAGTATATATGGTCCCTGGAGCACCATGAGGCATGGTCACTGAACACTGTGGTGAGCTCAAAGGGTGTGGCCCCTCAAAAGGACTGAGATCTAAGATATCAAAAAAACAGCTGCCAAATCATTTTTTCTTATTTTATCTCATCCATGACATTTGTGCTAATCAGCAAAGATCTTCCTAATATTCCTTAGTATTTGTGAACTCAATAAACTCAGTAAAAGTGGCATATTACCGTTTAGACTACTTTATCACAAAATACTAGTAAATTTGGAACACACCTGACAGCTACACATTTCAACTACTAAAATTAGATATGTATAATTTCTACATAGAACGGTAATACAGCTAGTAAAAATATAGATTGGGCATTATGTCTTGTGTCTATTAATTTGTAAAAAACTAGAATGGTGAGGCCAGAACCAGAGTATAGTGGGTAGGGCACTTCCCGTACATGCAGAGGACTCACATTCAATCCCTGGCATCCCATATAGTTCCGTGAGCACAGCCAGGAGTGATTCCTAAGTTCAGATTCAGGAGTAACCCCTAAGCACAACCAGGTATGGCCCCCAAAACAAAACCAAAACCAACTGAAAACCCAGAATGGTTCTGACATGCCATCCTTGACAAGATTTTCATCTGTATTTCTATACACCCTGAATTTTTAAAATTTCATTAGATCTTTGGTAACAAGGTATAAATAACTTAAAATGTCTTAGGACTGTGAAATATTTTAAAAGCTTTTGATGAATACTCTGTACTCTATCCTCCTTGAAATCAAAGTCTGAAATTGATTTTTGCATTAACACCATGTGCTAAATTGAAAATACTCAGAAGACAACAGTTCCTGTGTAATTCTCATAGCACTGAATACAATGAGCACTTGTGTATCTCTATACACTTTAGATTTATAAAGTGAATCAAAGGCAACTTAAAATTCTGTAAATATACTGCAAGTCCTCAAGTAATAAAATTGCCACCAATTGCTGTATTAGATGAAAGATGACAAATGTATTTTTAGATTTAAAAAAAATCCATTACATGAATTAACTCTTTAAATGTTTATGGTCTGTAAAGTTTTCTTCTAAACACATGGAATATCTTTTCAAAACTGGTCTGTTCTGTTTGACATCAAAGCAAAATACATAGAACTATCTTTTCATTAAAAATTTTTTTTCACTGAATATAAACCATTACAAAGCTGTTTATAACTGGATCTCAGTCATACAATGACCCAGCAACCATCTCTCCATCAGTGCACACTTGCCACCAATGTCCCATTTCCCTATCACCATATCACCATCCCCCAACCCCCTCCCCCCCAGCATCCCTCTAATTGGAGGCACTTTCCTTCTCACTCTCATTTTTCTGTTTGTGCATTATCTACCTTTCCATTTTTATGCAATTTTTTTCCTTTCAGATCTTATTTCATGCTTTATGTTACAGTCAACAATGTTTATGAACTGTATGATGAAAGCAGTTATACTTTTCTGTGAAAAAAAGCAGTTTAAGATAGTTGAGTTTACAAATATGGTGAGCATGTTACTATAAATTATTTCAAACTTCTTTATGTATTCCAGTGAATGTGGAATTTAGAAATTCAAAATCTGGTCCTGAATCTGCCATTTTACCTATTTTAATGAAGTAAAAGATTATCTGCTCTACCTTTCAAAAGACTGATTATGAGTTCTAGAAAATTTGAGGCTGATCCCAATTTGATCCCCACAACTACACGGTCCCCAGAGCACCAGAAGGAATAACTTTTAGGAAAAGCAGAAGCAAGCTCTGGGCGTGCAAAACCAAAAAAGCAAATAGAAAAAAGAAAAGTTCTAAAGAAATTGAAAAGGGGCTGGAGAGATAGTACAAGGGTGTATGCAGCTGACCCCAGTTTGATCCCAGGGACCGCGTGGCCACCCAAGCACTACTGAGTGCAATTATGATTCATCAAAATATGGGAAGGCTTTAAAAATGTGTAAACATATAAATGTAAAACCTACAAGACATTATAGATCATATAATCCCATTTTTAAGAGTATAGTGATAAGTTTTCTATTATATGACAATTTTCCTTTAAAAACAATCTCGAGGGACAGACAGATAGTACAGGAGATAATGCATTTGCCCTTCATGGGGCCAACTGTGCTTTAAATCCCTGGCAGCACCATGAATAATCCCTGAGCACAGAGTCAGGAGTAAGCTCTGAGCACAGCTGGATGTGACCCAACAAGATATCAAAAATTCTTTCACACGTTATGAAGTAATAGCTACTGTTCAGTTATGTGAAAGAACAATATGCTATATCTGATCTGCAACATTTCACAAGGCTGACAATACACATCATTTAAAAATTTTACGAAGCATGTCACTATATATTAACTGAAATCTATTACCTCAGTCAAAGTTCTCTACTTCACAACCAGATCTCCTCAACTAAGTTTTTATTGAGGCCCATGTTCTCTGAGACTATATTTTGTTGGAGAAACACTATTGCAGGTGAAAGACAAGTTACTGTCAAGCTTATGTACCCCATGTAATAGATGGCAGATCTATCTGCAATTGAAAAAAAGAAGTGCAATTCTTGTCATTCAATAAAATTAAATATGTAATGAACATGATGAAGCTGAAAAGAACAAATTAGATTAGTGGAAAATGTTTATGTAAATACTGAAAATTAGGGAGGAAAGTTCTGAAAGCTTTCAATGGGTTTGGGGGTTGACAGTATAAGCATTTTACATCCAAGTTCAACTTAGAATTATCCCATATTATGTCCTTTGACAACAGTATTTTTATTCTATCACTCAGAAAGAAAAGCTTTTCACCACTCTACTCCCCCCCAGCCCAACAACCATTAGAAGGAAAAAACCTCCAATAGTGGAGAGGAAGCAGGAATCTGGAAGAAGAGTGTGGAAGATTCAGATTGTGAGTCAGTAGGCTAATTACACACTGGTACCAAAAGAAAGAAAAGTTTTAAGTGAGAACGAACAGTAAACCGGGAAAGAGGTGATCTGGAAACATTTTTTATACATTTTCAGAATTCTCTCAACTCTTCAGTGCCTGAGGGCAGATTTCTCTTTTTATTTTACATTAACAATAAAAGATGAAGGACAATTTTTAAAAGTTAACTCTTTTCAGTAAGACTATTTTATTTAAAAAATTTTCAAAATATAAAAATAATAAACATTATGGATATTTAACAAACAAAATAACATAATTCAACTATAAATAATAAAAATGTTGACAACCCCACATAAACATGTTATACTACAAACATTCTATGCATACAAGAGTAGTTTTCTAGTTCAAGTTTTACCTTGTTTTAGTTCAAGTTTTATTATCACTTTAAGAAAAAAAACAAAAAAAAAAGCTGCTACAGCTTAATCAATTACTTTCGCTCCACTGAAAGAGCAGGGAATTTTTTCCCCATGCCGACACACATTCGTGAAATGGGACACTATGGGCACAGGTATTAAAAACTGGAACAATCGAATCTCCAGACAAGAGAAGACTCCTTTGGTGTTTTAGGTTCAACAATCCACAAAACTGAGTTAAAGCAAACTGCTTATTATGGGAAATCTTGTGCCATCCATGTTCTGAAGTATATACACCTCAAACAGGTTCAGAATTCTGAGAATCAAACGTAAACATCTATGAATGCTTTGCTGATACTTAAAAATTGTATCTTAAGAACATTCACTAAGGTGCTGGAATGAAGTCCTGTAGATGTAGAAACAATCTACACCCATCAATGCAAAACATGTACAATGTAAATAATACATCTCTTCACAATTCATCAAATGTTTTGTAAATATTTAAGAATTACTCTACCTCCTGTTGAATAAAAGACAGACAGGAATTTAGAGCAGAGCTAAGCAGGGCTACATCATGTTATCGGACTAAGAAAGCTTCCCATTTCAAAAATGGGAAAACTGAGCCAAGCAGATTTTATCATTCACGCTGAATGTATAATTATTTATTCTAGCCAGATCAACACTGTTCTTATCAAAAGAACTAACAACAATCCAATGAAACTATTTCTTTTTAGGAGTTGGGCCTTAATGATGTATCATATCTTTAAATTGTGGGGCTTAATGGGCTGGGTTCTTTACCTGACTGACTGCAAACCACTTTGTAAATTATGCTGCTATTTTAGAGTAAATCACAAACGATCATAGCTAAGTTACATAATAGTTCAAAATGATATTGAAAGGTTTATAGCACCAATGACTTTTTCCTAAGACACTTGAGGGGCTGCATCACTTGTAAAGTATTATTTATCTTGTAAACAAGACCAAAAAATATTCAATTGATCTGTATTTTGAGCATAAATATTTATAAACTCTATTAAAAAACAAATATCGCATGAGTAGGGAAGCTAATAGTGTAAAATCTAAGTATATTGAAAATATAAAGATATATAAAAGGTTTCCATAATGCAATCATGCAGAGGTAAACGGCTTCAATTACACAAGTGATTCTGTACAGTTATCTACACATAGCTCCATGAGAATCCTACTGAAGAAAAATGAAATCATAAAAAACTCTTTATCTTTAATGGATCAGCATAAGGGAATTAATGTAACTGACCTATTGGATAGCATAGCAATTTTAAAAAAGAGCAATGATCTTAGTGAGAATCAGACTTCTGATTCTCAATGCCAGTCAGTTTTTGCTTTATTTTGTTTTTAATTTAAAAACAAGGGGGCTGGGGGGAAAGATGACAAAAACAAAGTTAACAGTGATTGGGCCTGTGGTTCACATCCATTAGCCAACCAAACTGATACAGAAGTATGGTCTCTTCAGTCAATGTTCTTTGGGTTTCTAACCTACCACACAAACCACTATTGCATAGGTAGAAATCTTTCCACAAAAAGAAAAGATACTGAGCTCACCTGGGAAGTATTTATAAACTCCCTGCAAGTAACTGCTAGTTGAAAAATGTTAACTAAGACAAGAGCCTAGTTTTCAAAATCCCTTGTAGGCTAACAGGTCATAAATATGTTAGAAGACCTTCCAAAACACATACTTTTCCCCGCTCTCTCTAACTAATGTAGATAAAAATAGATAATTTACATTTTACTGATGTGTTCATTCTTTTTTATTTTTCACGAAAACAAACACAATGCACACGAGGGTGGGGTTGGAGAAAAGGGTATTTTGCAGAATACTTTGCACACAAAGAAGTAAAAATATGAGCATAGTTGAAAGAACTGGAAAAAAAAAAGAGTGACTACAGTTAAGTGTAATTTGGATTTTCTGATAAAGATGTCCAAATAAAACTCCTCAAATACCTCATTAGACTACAGGAATATTCTTAACTTTGTGAACACTTTTCTTTGTGCTCATTTTATAAAAAAGAGTACTTTGGGTTAGTTGGATAAGATTTAATCAGTCTAAAAATAGTTATAAGCCACATTGCTTATAAATAAATATGGACATACACCTTTCAAGACTGGAAATCTGTAATTTTTTTACAATATCAGACACACTACTCCCCCTTGCTTTTAGGATTGTCTTTGAAGTCTTGATTGCAAGTGCAGAAAATAAGGTAAATTGTGAAAGTTAGACATTAAGTAAATTCATCTCAATATGTATTTTCCACAGATCATCCTGCATTTCTTGATAGAAAATTATACTCCTTGTTGGTGTTAAAGAACCAAGACACTAAAAAATTATTTGGGCAGGTAGGATTGGAATAACTTAGGTCAAAGTATTTTTAGAAGATAGGCAAATTATTAGTGCGTAATATAGAAAAGTATTTTATCATCTGTTCAAAATTATTTGACTATTCTAACCCCAAATATGTATCCTAAATTCCAGAAAAATTAAAACAAAACTCATGCTTAACTTTTAAATTATTTTCTTCATTGTAATTATTCATGCCAATAAACACAACCTCATGGCTTTATAGATGTCCTAGACACAATTCTTAGCTTTGTTGAGACTGAGTTTATCGCATATTAGGAAGCCAAGAGGTTTTTTTTTAATCCTTTTTATGGTGTTTAAAAAAAATAAATGGCTATAAAGGGAGAAAACATTTAAGTAAGAAAAGTCAGACAAAGCACACACTCAGATATACTTCTGGATTCAGGTATACCCTTAGAGAACTGTAAAGATAAAATGCTAATTATAGTACATGTAAACAAATATCCAAATTGATAAAGGGTAAACATAAAACGACAAAATGATATTTAAACAGTCGTCTCCAGAGAGGAACACTTCTTGCTGTGGTGGTCACAAAGCTAAATTCAGGCAATGATGATCTCTCTCTGCTGGAAAAAGAGAAGACTATTAAAAAAAATAACTTTGAGAATAGCATACAAATCTAAAAATTGAATTGATTTCAACTTTTCTAAACATTAAAAACATCTATTGGAGAAAATGACAAAAAAAGCTGCACACAAATTAGACAAAGGATCAGTTTTAGGTCAAGATTATTTTAATAATACCTCTCCTGTATTCTCCTTGAAACATTAGGCTGCAGAGACAATAGTGCTGAAACATAGCTAAAACTTTTGATTACCTGATAACTAAAGAAGACAGAATAACCTAGACAACAAGACACCAGAAGATAATCATCTCGATATCCTAATCCCTCTTCTACTAGCCCACCTTTATGCACAATATAAAGTGCTCACACCTTCTCCCTTTGTTAAAAACACACAAAAGGGAAAAGGTTTCTTCCTTTCTCTGGAAGCCTGTTTAGGGTATCCCATATCAGGAACTTCTCTGCCTTCTTTTCCCTTAAGTAAAATCTTTTCTGAATGTGGGCGGGGAAAGGAATTGATTTTCTGGTTAGGAAATGTAGTAACTGATAAGATTATAAATTATATCTCAGGTGGGCAAGTAGTTTCAAGAAATCAAAAGTGAATTTTAAGATATTGTATATGAAAAGAATAATTTGTTTCCAAATGATTTCAAATGTGAGGTGTACCTAATTTTCTTAAACTCCATATAATCATTTTCATTCTTCAATCACATAATGACAAAATGCTATATGAAGCACAATGATCAACAATAAAAATAAAGAAACATCAAAATGAGACCGTGTATACAGAGAAAGACCAACTTCAAATGATGGGAAAGTGATAACATAAAATAAAAAGGGAGGGCATAGAGGAGGGGCTTAGAAAGAAGCTAATAAAGCAAGCTGACACAAATAGGTTAAAAAAATTCTTTCAATTACACTAAGCAATGAGGATATAACACTATATGAAAATTATTTACCATATTGGGCTTTTTTTCCTACTAAAAGTGAGCTTTCATTAGAAATGATTGATAACAGCACTTATATTTGCCAAAATGTCTCTTTCATTGGATTTTGGGGTAACTGTATTAGGAGACTATCTGCTATGATCATGATCAGAGGGGAATGAAAAATACACTTCTTAAATAAGCCTATATACATACCTCAGAACTAGGCAGTTCAAAAGCTAATGATATAAAGGTAGTTCCCAAGATCTGAGAAAAGGAAATATACTTATTGCCTTATAAATAATATATACTGATGCTATAATCCTAGATTAAGTTTAAACTTTAAATTTATAGGGTTTTAGAACAAGGAAAACCCTGTAAGACCAAAAAGTGAACAGCCAGAATTTCATGTTTTAAACTCCTGCTTTAACAGAGGCAGAGGAGGAGGAGGAGGAGGAGAAGAAAGAGTACGAGGACGAGGAAAAGGAGGAGGAAAGGGAGGAAGAGGAGGAAGACTTACAAATATCTGTATAAATTCTAGAAGGACTAAAAATTCATTTTCTTTAGTTCATATTATATATATAAAAGGGGGGAAAAGACTGATAATGACTGTATAATATTCTAAAACCACCGGTGCCATTTCAACATACCAAAGAAGCAACCATTTTTGCTTTCTTTCTGTAAACCCACAAAGCCAACAATTAGTTTTCCAAGATTGGAAATACATGCCCTCCTCACCCCCCAAACAGTTCTAGTAACAATAAATTTCCTTCAATTAAGCTCAGCAACACTTTCTACAGGTAATCAGTTAAAACAGTGAAGTCTTTTTTCTTTATAGAAAACTTAGTTGTTATATTTGCTCATATACAGGATAACAAGAACTATGGTACACGCTCCCATTCCTGTAACATGTTATTAAATGCTGGGTATCTGTCAAATACTAAAATTAATTTTTAAAATGTTACAAGTATCCAATAACATTTTAAACATTTCTTAAGTAGACATAAAATACTGAAAGAAATATGTAAAATGACAACCATCCCTTGTGGTAATCCTAATCAATCTTTTAACCAGTAATATATAATTCTTTTCAATTTGTCCTGTATTAAATAGCTACCTACATTGTTGTCAATTCCTTTTTCTCTCAAAACTCAGCCCAGATTTGTTCTCTAAGCAAAAATAACTTGGTAGGAGATCTGTAGAATTAAAAATGCACTTCAACTTTTTCCGCAGCATAATGGAATATGAAAGAAATTTAAAGTTTGAGTTTAGAAGCAAAAGTAAAGGTTTCAAGTGGGAAGAAAAAGTACTAGTGATCACAAAAGAAGACTGCATTTTACAGGTTGAAAGGAATCTGTGTCTGAAGAGTATCTGGGAGTATTATACACAAAACAAGACTAAGGCACATTATATGAATTAGTGTACCATAACCAAATCTAAGTTGTTTCTATTGGTACAACAGAAACAACAAATCGGGAGTAGGTATATTAAACTGTTTTAGATTGAAACACTTAATGTACCCCTCAAGAAAAGTTACAGGTGTGCCAAGGAGCTAGTCGTCTAGTCCAGTCCCTTTCTTTTTACAGACAAGGAAACAAACCTGGGTAAGTGACAGACTTGTGTTTGGCCAGAAAGGAAGTTGCAGAGCTGAGGCCAAAAGCTGACATTATGAGTGTGGCAAGGGAGTAAGGACGCCAGCTGGTGGGGAAGCGGAGGAGGCGGTGCTCAGGGGTTATTCTTGGCTCTGCACTCAGGAATTACTCTTGGTGTTGTGTTTGGGGGATCATATGGGACAGCTTTGACCAAACCCAGGAGTGTGCATTGCAAATGCCCTACCCATTTTACTGTCACTCTGGCTCCCAAAAGCTAATTTTCTTAACCCTTGTCAAATATTCAGTACCAGGCTATTTTTGAACATATAATCCAAGTAGCAGAGACTAAACTGGTGTTTCTTAGCTTACTTTATATATGCACTGAATTCAAAAGGTACTTCAGAAAATGACTACAAAACGTAGTACTCCAAAATATTAGTGCCTTAGTAATAATAAGAAAATCTCATTGAAGTTACATATGCATCTGTAACCCCACTCATGTGAAACTCAATGGTATAAACTGGTTAGCAAAACGGTACCAGTGACTAAGACCTTCAAGAGAGATTATTAAAAAACTGATAAGAATTAACAAGGGAGGTAATTGTCACTTCATTATTGGAGTTATATGCATCCATTCATTAATTCATCCAACAAACATCTGAGTGCCCATATGAGCCAGGCTTTGTGACAATCACTAGAGATAAAAAGATGAATAAGACATGGTCCCCTTCCTAGAGGAGCTTATAATCTAGTGGGAAGACAGACATGTAAACCAGATAAATTATATTACAACATAAGTACTGTAACAGATATGAACAAAGTGCTATATTAGGAGGGAGGATAAAGATATGAACTAGCTAATGACCAAGAAGTCCACTTCAACATTTACTACAAACACAATTTCACGCTTAGTCAATAATTTAAAAGGAGGTAGCAATGTAGAATTTTAAAAAATAAAATTGGTGCCAAAATCAGAATGTCTGCATTCAAAGCTAGTCTTCTACTTCTTAGTTGTGGCTTTGGACAATCACCCTACTTTCATTAATCCAAGTTTCCTTTATCTGTAAAATGGGAATTAACTATTGCAAAGAAATAATCTTAACTTCCAACTGAGTACAAGTAGAACATTAATATTAAAAACATAATTTTTTCCAAAACTCAATACAAATTGTAGGCAACAGTCATAATAAATCATATAAATAATAAAAATATAATTGTGAGCTTAATGAAAGTTGCTAAATTTACCTCAAGTCTTTGGAATCAAATTAAAATATATTTGTCTTCTGATTTATTCAAAGCAAAATGGCTTAAAACACTTAAAGTTTAGGTAGTAATAAATTTAAGGGAAACTAGTAAAGTTATTTAAGTAGTAGTAGATAATTACAATCATTAAAGGAATTTCACATTTTTTTTAAGATAGCAGGCTAATCAATTTATAAAGCCAAAAATCAGCAAGAAGATTTAACTGGCCTTTGAAAGATTTACTTTCTTTATAATACCTGTTTGGTGTAAAGAGAAGAAACGTGAGCCTCTGCCAATATGGCATCTTTCACGACTACTAAAAAGAAAAGAAAACAAACTTACCTAATGAATTAGAATAGCACATAGTAAAAATACAAGAGACTACATAAAAATATACCAGATAAAGAACTTTTTCAGTAAAATCACTATTTTGACAAAAATAATTTGATACTGAAATCTTAAATATTAACATGTGCAACATTTCTATGAAATAATATTACCAGAAGGGACATATATATACACAAATTAAGTGTGTGTGGGGGGGGAGGGGAGAAAAAAAAGATTAACAGTATTGCACAAGTTATTTCATTGGCAAGAGATTAGAGTGGCAGAACTGCAGTTTATGTCTAAGGGCCCCATACAGAAAGTGATCTTTTAAAATGTGACTTTTAATATAATCACTATAATCTGAGGAGGGGCAGAAACACTTGTAATCGAAACGATGCATTTCAAAAGGTAAATATGTAATCTCCTATCCCCTCATTCTGTAAAGAATGCATTTATTTTCTGGAAGCCGCTGAATCAACTTTCAATGATCACATTCATTTACCAGAGAAATCCACTTAAAAAATCACAATATCGTTGCAAATGTCAAAGATTTTTATACAAGCATAGAAAATGCACACTTAAAATATCAGACTGAAACACTTACCAAACAGTGTTTTCCTAAAGTAGTATCTATAGTACATTTCTTTATTCATACATCTTCAAATGGTCAAGCTTTCTTTCACACATCCAAAATGTAATGTGATGTTTTCTTATTCACCAAATACTACTTGAAGTCTGGTTCCAAACTAATCAGCCTGCTTTTAAATTTTAAGACATCTGTTGAAAATTTGTAGGATCAAACCAAACTGAAGTTGTATAAATTTTAAACATGGATTGTACATTATTATAAAGGTACCAGCAACCATTATTATAAAGAATAAATTAGTGATTAAGCTCTTTTAGTGATAATTGGGGGTAAGGGTAGATCACCATCTGGAATGGTCTATTTATTTTAGATTTTTTTTCTTTTTTTTTCTTTTCTTTTTTTTTTTTAAATCAAGGAACATTGTCTTGGCCTTTTTTTTTTGTCATTGTTTTCTTTTCTTTTTTCTTTTCTTTTGAGAGACCATTCCACTTTATTTTTCACATCTGAATGCATAGGGACTCATATGCAAAACAGTCATACACCGTTATCATTAAAACCCATGTGGTAAAATACATACACAAGTCCAACAAAAGGCTAATACATAGTAAAGCCTAAGCATACTACTATGTAATATTATGAATACATAACTTGGGAGAGTTTAGTTATAGTACTATGTTATCTATTCATTTTTTGAAAACATTCATTAATATTTTAAATGCAAATTCATTCCTTATTTGGAGTAAAACAAAAAATCTGCTAAGTTATAACAAGTATTGGTCATAAGTTTTCAGACCTATTCATTTAAATTACAAAGAACCCAAAGAATTCTGTTCTGTTCAGTAGAAGTATGTAATAAAAACATTGAGTATGTTTCTAATGTGATGTCTTTTGCAATTGTTTACTGAAATAAAATGCAAACATCAATCTTTCAAAATACAGGATCAGAAGGTAGTTTTCTTCTTTTTTTTCTATTTGTGAAATCCATCTTCATCACATTTTACCAAAAATTGTTTTTTACAAATATGTAAAAGTACATTAGGTAATACTAATGAAACACAGGTAGAGTTCTAGCATATGCAGATCAATGATCAGTCAAATCATCTTCTCCAAGAACGCGATTCATTGTCCTCTTCTTCTTCATCATCATCTTGAAGTAATGAGTCATCCACCAAAGACTCTTCCTGAAACTTTAGGTTAAAATGCATTTAGGAATTTACCCAAAAAAAAAAAGAAAAAAGAAAAGAAAAAAAGGTGACACTTTTAAACAATGACTTCTCTCAAAGAGCTGAATTCGAAAGGTACTATAGCTAGAACATTCAAGAAACAATGATAAATAACCTTTAACCACTCCGGTTTCTCTTAAGTACCTTCTATAGCTTGTATCAAACCAGCACTAAAGACATAGAAGTAAACCTTTGTACATACCATTCCTCCTGTCTCTATTAAATTATGCCATGTTCTATAACTAAAAGGTATTGCTCAATAGTTATTTCTTTTTATAAAGAAAACATCCATACGACTTCCCTGATTTGCTCTGTCTAATCCTGGACACTAAATCAACCAACAGTTTGCACAGAAGTCTATAAAGAGTCAAATCTATATTCTGCCACATGTAACAAACATGTTCTTTTATAACATTCCTTTCTTTTATCCATTCCCTTTACAGAAGTTTCTCAGACTACTTTCCAAACTTTTCAAAATACCTAATACCAGGAGCTCGCCTGCTTTTCTCCCCATTCAATTCAAAATCATGGAAGGACAAAGGTATAATCTAAAATATAAAATGACAAATTATGTATGAGATTCAAAATAAACATTTTATTCTTGCATTTGACTGTAGATATGTATTAACAGCCTTGCATGCCCTTCAAACAAAATGAAGTGCCATTATGAAACTCATAAAAGGCCAAGCTTCCTTTATCAACTTCCTCAACTATTTCCTACAGTTTATTTCATGATTAAACAATAAACATTGTTGTTTTTAAGTTATGAATTAAAAATGGTCATCCCACTACTGCTCTTTACGCACATATTTCTCAGCCATCAGGCTGTTTCTCAAGAAAAATGTTCTCTTGCACACCTAGCTTTTTACCTAGAATGAATTTCTCAACTATAATCCTGCCCCGCCTCTAAGTAATGGACCCCCCCCCCCTTTTTCTTGAATCACTTGAGGTTCAGCTCCACTTTCACCACATCCTTCAAGAGTTTTGCAGAAACAATCGATCCCTCCTCTGGATACCCATAGCATATTGTTCAGATCTTTACTCAGTGCATCAGTCTGCCTTTAATATAGTTACCTATGTGTCTGTCACTACCCCCTTTCCAGATAATAAGCTCCTTGATGATAGGGACCGTGTCTTATTCATTTTGTGCCTACCACAGTTCTATTATATAGCAAACATTCATTCTATTAAACTAAAATCATAAGAATTAAAATAAAGGAACCTGAAAAGTTAATAAAGCAATTGAGTAAAATATATGCTCTAAAAATTCAAATATTATAAATTTCCTGTGGATAAAAATCTAAAATGAATTATCTTGTAAGAGTAAATGAAAATTGGGCTTATATATAGCTTTTCAGATAGCAATCCATAGTTCTCATTAATCCAGAAAATTAAGGTTATTTACACTTATCAGATATCCCCTACCAGAATATAGCTCAGGAACAGAAGATTTAATGTTATAATCAGAAACATAAAATTACAATTTACATATAAATCAAGTTAAAATCAAAATGGAAAAGAGAAAAAACATACTTCCTCGTCATCAGGTTCCACTTCTTCAGTTTCAACAGCTGAAATATTAGTTACTGGCTTATTCCACGCCAGTTTTAGATCCTGCCCTTTGAAACGAGCTCCATGAACTGCTGCCTGAAACAATTAAAAATATTGGAAAATAGAAAATCATTTATTGGGGAAAATTTTAATATTACAGTGCTTAATATTCAAATTAGATAAGCACAAGTAAAGATGATTGTGTCACTTTGCTCTGTAATTATTTACCTCTATATTTAATACCATAAATTTTAATTAACATTCTATTTACCCCTAAAATCAGTATAAGTAATTTGATAAAAAAAGAAAACAAAAGCAGGGCAAACCAGACAGTTCAAAGAGCTCAAGAGCATAATCCACATGCGCCTCTGTTTGATCCCTGGCACAGCATATACTGGCAGGAAGAGAAAGTCCTGAGAACCAAAACACAAGTAGCCCCAACCAAAACAAAACCCCACATAACCTAACATAATTAAGCAGTGCTACTTGACTGTAAGAAGACAGTATGAGGGAACGGATGGTTTAAGGCCCTGACCTTGCACACGGCTAATCTTAGTTCAATCTCTGGCATTGCATATGGTCCACCTTACTACACTAGGAATGATCCCTGAGCACAGAGTCTGATATAAGCCCTCAATAACACCACTGGGGCAGACTCCAAAACAGCAGGAAAAAATTCCTACAAACCCCACGCTACAAGCTGTGTATTCAGAATACAATGGTACTTGCTACTTCTTTTGATAATTGCTATTTCAGATAAAAATCCCAAAGTACTCAGAAACCGAGCTAAAGATTCTAAAATTCAAAATTCAAAGCCTAAAATGGGGTTAAGTGCATTTTAATGCATTCCAATTCTTAATTTATGGAAAGCATTATCATCAATATGAACAAGGAAACATTAAGTAACTATAAGGTTATATATGTATAAGAAGTAAATAATTTTCAAACTATATCGTAGGCTAACAGAAAGAATGTTGATGCCTATATAATATAACACTATGAACATCTCCAAGAAGAAAATAAAACTATTTGTCTTTACTGGAAATAAAAATACTTCCTAAAAAACCTTTAGAAGTGAATATACTAAAACTTTAGTAAATAGTTAAGTTTAACTACTGCTACATTAAGTAGCTGGTTTAAAAAAAGTAGTATATTATGGATGTTTCTCAAAAAATTAGAAATTGAGCTCCCATTTGACCCAGCAATACCACTTCTGGGAATATATCCCAGAGAGGCAAAAAAGTATAGTAGAAATGACATGTGCACTTGTATGTTCACTGCAACACTGTTTACAATAGCCAGAATCAGGAAAAAACCCTGAGATCAGATAACTAGTTAAAGAGACTTTGATACATCCACACAATAGAATACTATGCTGCTTTAGAAAAGATGAAGTCATAAAATTTGCATATAAGTGGATCAACATGGAGCGTATCATGCTAAGTGAAATGAGTCAGAAAGAGAGGGACAAACATAGAAGGACTATATCCATTTGTGGAATATAAAGTAACAGAATACAAGACTAACACCCAAGGATAGTAGAGATAAGGACCAGGAGGATTGCTCCACTGCTTGGAAGCGGGCCTCACATGTAGGGGGAAAAGACAGCTCAGATAGAGAAAGGACCACCGAGTAAAGGATGCTTGGAGGGCCTGCTCTAACTGAACATGATGGCCACTTAATACCTGTATTGCAAACCACAACACCAAAAAGAGATAGCAAAAAAGAATGTGCCTGCCACAGAGGTGGGGGTGGGGGTTGGGGGAGAGATACTGGAAATATTGGTGGTAGAGAATGGGCACTGGTGGAGGGATGGGTACTTGATCATATGACTGAAAGGTAAGCATGAAAGTTTGTAAGTCTGTAACTGTACCTCATGGTGATTGATTAAAAAAAAAAGTAGTACATGAATGCTCTACATCATTAATCATCAGGGAGATGCAGATCAAAACCACAATGAGATACCATCTCACACCTCAGAGACTGGCCCACATTCAAAAGAGCAAAAGCAACCGATGCTGGCATGGATGTGGCGAGAAAGGGACACTCCTTCACTGTTGGTGGGAATGTCGACTGGTTCAGCCCTTCTGGAAAACAGTATGGACGATTCTCAAAAAATTAGAAATTGAGCTCCCATTTGACCCAGCAATACCACTCCTGGGAATATATCCCAGAGAGGCAAAAATGTATAGTCGAAGTGACATCTGCACTTGTTTGTTCATTGCAGCACTCTTTACAATAGCCAGAAACTGGAAGAAACCTGAATGCCCAAGAACAGATGACTGGTTAAAGAAACTTTGGTACATCTACACAATGGAGTACTATGTAGCTGTTAGAAAAGATGAAGTCATGAAATTTACATACAAGTGGTACAATATGGAAAGTATCATGCTAAGCGAAATGAGTCAGAAAGAGAGGGATAGACATAGAAAGATTGCATTCATCTGGGGGATATAAAGTAACAAAATATGAGATTAATACGCAAGAATAGCTGAGATCAGCACCAGGAGGATTACTCCATAACTTAGAGGCCAGCCGGGTATCCTAGAGGAAAGGGCAGTTCAGAAAGAGAAGGGAGGACCAAATAAAGGGTGTTTGGAGGATCCTCCCAGGAGGGGAGATGCATGTCGAAAGTAGACTATGGACTGAACATGTTTGCCACTCAATGCCTCTTTTGCAGACCACAACACCCAAACGGAGAGAGAGAACACAGGGGATTGTCCTGCCACAGAGGCAGGGGGGGATGGGGGGATGGGGGTGGGGGGATATTATCCATGGTGGTGGAAAATGGGCACTGGTGGAGGGATGGGTATCTGATCATTGTATAATTGAAACCAAAGCACAAAAAATTGTAAATCTACAACTTTAAAAAAAATAAAATAAAATAAAATAAAGGGGGAAAAAAAAAAGAAAAAAAAAAAAGAACACCCATTCATAAAAAAAAAAAAAAAGAACAGATGACTGGTTAAAGAAACTTTGGTACATCTACACAATGGAGTACTATGTAGCTGTTAGAAAAGATGAAGTCATGAAATTTACATACAAGTGGTACAATATGGAAAGTATCATGCTAAGCGAAATGAGTCAGAAAGAGAGGGATAGACATAGAAAGATTGCATTCATCTGGGGGATATAAAGTAACAAAATATGAGATTAATACGCAAGAATAGCTGAGATCAGCACCAGGAGGATTACTCCATAACTTAGAGGCCAGCCGGGTATCCTAGAGGAAAGGGCAGTTCAGAAAGAGAAGGGAGCACCAAATAAAGGGTGTTTGGAGGATCCTCCCAGGAGGGGAGATGCATGTCGAAAGTAGACTATGGACTGAACATGTTTGCCACTCAATGCCTCTTTTGCAGACCACAACACCCAAACGGAGAGAGAGAACACAGGGGATTGTCCTGCCACAGAGGCAGGGGGGGATGGGGGGATGGGGGTGGGGGGATATTATCCATGGTGGTGGAAAATGGGCACTGGTGGAGGGATGGGTATCTGATCATTGTATAATCGAAATTCAAGCACAAAAAATTGTAAATCTACAACTGTACCTCATGGTGTTTCACTAATAAAAAAAAAAAGAAAGAAAAAAAATGTAAAAAAAAAAAAAAGTAGTACATGAAGGCTAGAGTGATAGTGCAATGTAGGGGAATGGCCTTGCATGCAGCCAGTCCAGGTCCAATTCCTGGCACCCCGTATGGTCCTCCATGCTCATCAGGAGTGAAACCTGAGGTCAGAGCCAGGAGTAAACTTTAAGCACTGTGAGGTATGGCTCTTAAACTAAAATAATTAAATTAAAAAACAGTGCAAAGTATAACAACAAATCAATATTAGCAATATATACCTCCTGCCCCCGCACCTGGCTGTCTTCACCGGGTCCCTCGAAGTGGGGGGAGGGCTGAATTTCCTTCCCTGTCCCTGAGCAGAGCCCCGGCAGCCGAAGACCTCCAGAACCCAGCCACAGTCATGCGCAAGGCCACTCTACACGCTCGGACGAGCCTCACGCACGAAGGAACCGGCAGAGGAACCCAGGTGTGTGGGACCCGGGGCTGAGATCTCCAAGCCTGCTTGAATCGGGACTGGGCCTCCTCCACCCAGATCCCCCATTTTCCAGCAGCTAGGCAATTACACACACAAACTGCTCCCCGTACCATGCAATCCCATCAACGGCCAAGATCCAGAGACTATAAAACAAAGATCCGGGAAGTACAAGGTCTCAAATGTGGCCGCACGTACTCTTATAGTCTAGTTCTCCCTCTAGAAGAACCCGGAAAGTTCCCGAAAGTATCCTGCCCATACGACAAAGCCTGGCAAGCTCTGTGTGGTGTATTCCATATGCCAAAAACAGTAACAATAACTGGTCTCATTCCCCTGACCCTGAAAGAGCCTCTAAATGGGGCACTGTTAGGAAGGACGAGTAAAGAGGGGCTGCTAAAATCTCAGGCCTAGGATGAATGGAGACATTACTGGCACCCGTTTGAGCAAATCGATGAACAATGGGATGACAGTGATACAGTGATGCAGTGATCTAAGTAACTCATAGTCACAAAAGATCCATATATCACCTAACACGTGCAGAAATGACTCCTGAGCACAGTCAAGAGTAAACCCTTGAGCATTGCCAGATGTGACCCCCAAACCAACAAAAATGAAACAAAATTAAAATATGCAGTTACCCGGTTTTTAGTCCACAGTCTTACCTAAAGTCACATAACTGGAAATTTTTTTAGTTTAGAAACTACTTGCAATTTTTAAACTATTACATAGAAACACTTCATCATAAAAAATTCTACTTGTCTCACGTAAAAAGCTTGCTTGTGTAACTCTTTTACCAGCTAATAGCTGCAAAAATGTTACTAACAATTTTTATATTAAGTTTTTGACAAAAAAAAAAATTCAGAAAAATTTCTAAAGAAATGGGGAATTCATCCTGAGCAAGCAAAGCTTCCCACTAAGGCACAATGAGAAATCAGTGACAATTCACAGGAAAAACCTCACCAAACTTATAGTGTTGATCAGCTACGTTTGACATATCTGTCTGTATATGAGGGCTGGTAACTACGCGGCATAAAAATGGAGGAGGGGGAAGAGAGGGAAGG